ATATAAATAAATATATATATAATTGGATAGGATCTAGTTAAGTGTAGGCTCTCCGTTAGTTCAGTTGACATCATGCTGTTGGACTACTGAGCAGATTGCCTTGGTTCGAATCCCAGACTGGGCGTTCTTGAACTTGGGTCGTTTTGTGGAGTTTTCAAGGCCATCAGTTGGGGCGTATCGGATAATGGATATTGCTTTGGGAAGTCCAGCGTCTTAAATAATCTACTAGTGTTGATAGGGGCGTTAAACTCACATACTTTCGCACTTTCGGTAATGTGGTGTAGCATTTTGTTCTGTGTCACGAGGTTCCATATGTTTGTGCAGGTTTAACACACATTTTTTAAATGTTATCAATAAATACAGAAAGTATGCAACATAATGAGATACAATTGCAAGTACTTTTACTTGTATGCCAGTTTAATTTGCTTGCTTTTATAGTTTAGGGTCTTAACAAAGTGGAAATTGTTCAAGACGCCATGCTTTGCCTAGGAGAAAACCAGTTGTCTTTGATAGGGTTATCATAATACAGAACAAGTTAATAAAAAAGGAAGGGGGAATTGGTAATTTATACATGTGATTATCTGAGACAGGTTTCCGCTACTCATAATATTATATATACTATACGAATACGTTGGTAAAGTGTCTTTATGCTCAAGAGTGTGGACTGGTCTTCCTCACTATGGCTTTATTATGCTTAATATTTCTTTTATGAGCCCCCCCCCCCAAAAAAAAAGAAGAAAAAGAAAGAAAAAAGGGAAAGAAGTTTACAGTTCATCAAAATACGTCTGAATCAACATTGGAATATCATCGAAACATTGTGTATCTTTCTGTTCCTTCACAAAACAGCTCAGAACACTGCTCGACAGGCTCAACATCTTCAGAAATCTGGCGTTACTGTAGTAAGCATTGGTGTTGGATCCAAGGTGTCGCCCCCTGAGCTGAGAGTCATCGCTTCCAGCCGCAAACTCGCTTTCAAAGTTGCCGATTTCAATGCTTTGACCTCTGTGCGAAAAGCCATCACTTCCTCTGTGTGTACTGAAGCTGAACAACAAAAAGAAGAGGCTGCTAATATCAGTAAGTACAAAACGGACGTTAATTTACAGTTATTGTTTGTTTGTTTAAAGATTTAAAAGGAAATATTTGAATATTGGTTGAATTGAAACAACACTTTTTTATTTGGGTACTTTCGAAGTTCATAAAAAACCCCAGCATAGGATAACAGAAAGCTGATTGTAGTATGTTTCTATGGCAGTTTTCATAGAGTGCAAAGAGCGGCATCCATGTTAGTGCCTAGTCTAGAATAATAATATCATGAGTCAAGTCTTTGGCTATCTCTAGTTATGAGACTGTCCTTGTTCTTGCAGCTGTTGTTTACTAATTCCATGAACGTAGTCTGTTAATAAACTGCTGTAGGAGGACAAAAGAGCTCCGAAGGTTTGTATCCAAGTACAAGTAAAACGTGTATTGCATCTGGGTTTTTTAATTCGTTTTCTTTTTCAGGGACTCTTTGCAAAGAAAAAACCAACCAACCAACCAACAAACAAACAAACAAAATCACCAACAACAAAAAGACCATTATGGAATTCAGATTTAAAAGCAAATCTCGTTTTCTTTTCTTTAGATCCCGATTTCTGTGATGGCCCCGTTGACGTCGTGTTCCTGTTGGATAAATCTGCCAGCATCAAGAAAGCTGACTGGGAGGGAGAAAAGAAGTTTGTTGAGAAAATAGCAGGTGTGTGGAGCTGTACGAAACAACGTTGTGCCTGTCTCTATAAAACTGTCATTAATTACACCTTCTAATTTGAACAATTCTTGTCATTTTTTTTAGATACACTGAATTCACGTATTCTTATAATATCAATTCGTTAGTGCCACTGGCGATATAAAGTCCTGGCTGATGAAGAAAAACCAAGAGAATGTCATTGTGGTTTTTGTTTGTTTTAGAAGGTCATATGAGCGCCAAGGGGTGGATGTCAACAGAGGAGTCTTTACAGGGAATCAGGCAAAGTAGAGGGAAAATGACGATAGTAAAGATTAGGAAAGAAAAAGCAGCAGTTCCCTGTTGCAGTTCAGGCACAGTTATGAGTATGGCAATGTTGAATCAGCCGATTTACAATTCTGCTGTGCATAAGAACAAGTTAATGTCCCCCCTTTGGGAATGGCCTAACGAAACTTCAGTCAGTGGCACCGCCCAGTGGGAGGGGGATGGGGGGCATTGTGGTTTTCATGTATTCATCCAACGTATGTCTCTATAGTACCATTAGTACGTGATGCCATGGGCAATGGTATATCATAATAACCTGCAACAATAATTTTGTTTCGAGACATTATGCGTCTCCTGCAGCTTATTCAGGACAAAAAACCCAAAACGAAACGAAGAAAAACATTACCATCCATCAACCTTAGTTTTTGATTGTTTTGTTTTGTGTTTTGTTTTTGCTTTGTTTTGTTGATTTGTCTGTGTGGAAGAGGGGTTGGGGGG